CAGTGGGAATAATAATTAATCTTTCATCATCATAAAACTTCTGAATCAACTGAATTTGAAGAAGTTTGACCTAAATCTGAAATAGGAAGTAAGAATGTGACAGCCATCTTCTTGTCCATAAGATTATTTTGCTTCTGGTTAGGATATTATTTATTTTATCAAAATTCAACTGTTCTCATTCTTTCCCCATATTTTCAGTCTTTTATGTCCAACAAATTAAACATTGTAAATATTTCAACTACAAGAAAAGAAGATAAAATATGTATGTTTCTCTGGTTAGGGCATGAAAACATAAAAACTCTGCTTTTGATCTATTATAGGAAACAGTGACATCCTGGAATCACCTAACAATTGTTTTATTGTTGTTTAGTTTTACTTTTGAGTTCTTTGGTTGACTTCATAAGAAGAAATGCAGACAAACAAAATAAAACTTTAATTATAAACCAATTTGACCATGGATTTGTCCTATTCATGATTAGGAAAGCATGATCAAGTAAAACATTGTATAACTTTATTAGACAGATATTCTTTTATATCTCTAGGCCAAGTAAATAAAATAGTTAAAAACAAAAACAAAAAGGTTTCCATCAAACACATTTTCACATCTCCTTGTTAAATGAAAGAAACCCTTCAGCTTTTATTTTATTGGACTCGTTCTGAAGCTGAATGAGCTGCTCAAACTACGGAAAAAAAACTGAAAATTAAGTTTTTCCTTCAGCAAAAAACTAAATTCTTTATGGGTTATTTTTTTTTAATCCAGTGTCAAATAACTCTATTCTCTTTATTTTTCTTTCTTTATTCTGTTCTTTATCCCTGAGGCCATTTTGTGTTTCTAGGTCAGACTCAGGGGTGGAAAACTGTTTTACTCAAAAGGCCACATTTAGAACTGAAACTGCTGTGGAGAGCCAGAACCTGCTGAATACAAGTGTTAGAATAAGATATTGTAARTTTATGTAAATATTGAACATTCACAAAAATAGTTGCAAACAAAATATTGTCTGCGTTTCAAACATGCACAACTAATAAAAATAAAATTTTATTTCTCTTTTTTTAGTAAAATTATATTTTATTGGATTTAAAGATGTGTCCACTGAAGCCTTGTCTCATGGCTGTGGCAGGTGTGAATGACAGCAGCAGGTGATTGTCAGTGAGAGAATTTGTTTCTGGATTTGCCGCCGTCTTGTGTGGATGGTTCTCACTTCTTTTTGTCTCAGGGCAGGTCCACTAGTCTGACATGCTTATATAAATATAGTTTCCATGTACAAAAAAGGAAAGTGCTTTTGCTTGAGTATAGACCTACTATTGTAACATCTTAGAGAGACCACAAAGGTTTTTGGGTAGACTAAGTACAAAAACATTCAGACTTTTTCTAGTTGTTGTTGATAAGTTGTTCTTATCAATTGTTTTGGTCTAACACTCATGTTCCGCTTGTTCTTATTGTTTCCTATAAAATCAGATGCTAAAGGGGGAAGAATTAAAAATTACAGACCCATACTACAGCAATTTAGACATTTTAACATTGTTTAACCAGGCAAATCCCACTGAGATCACAGGTCTCTTTTTCAAGGGAGGCCTTGGCCTGAAGGCAACCTATTGTACATGTGTTCAATTTGTAGCTACAAGGCTGTGTTGCTGATGCTACTAGTTAGCAAGGACTAAAGAATTTGTTTTTAAATGTATGTTTTGCAACTTAGCTTATAAAATCTATGCTGCAATGAGATGTTAAATAAAATGCAATAGCCTATATGCCACGGACATCCGGCCCAGCACTGGATGCCACTCCCAACACTTACGGTTCACAGTCAACACAGTGTTAGCAAAAGATTTTTTCACCCGACAACGACTCTTAATGATCTCCACAGTACAGAATTAGCATATTACATGTACCAACATTAACACAGAAGATGTACAGGTCCAGCCAAGTGGAAAAAAAATCACTCCAAAGTGGATTAAAGCCATAAAAACAAAGGAAAGACGTTMGTGTTTATGGTCGTCACTCGGCTTTAGTCTACGCTGTAATATACACTCTAACAAGTTTTTACTTTTGCATAAAACTCATGACAAAGTCACATAAAAACATTTCATATAACACAAACAGGCGCGCACACACCTACCTTTGTACCGGCTGCTGTGTGTTAGCTTCCTGCTAACTGTCGTGTGGAGGAGGTCTTTCCTCTCTTGTCTTGGCAGTAAAAGGGGATAAATGTACATTTCCCTTTTGTAACCTCTGTCTTCTCATTTCTGTTGCTGGCTCTTGAATATCCTCAGGTTAGAAATGCCGATTACAAACACAACCGTGAGATATTAGAGTTAAGTTTTCCCTGTAATGCTATGATCCACTGCTGTCACCTCCTCATCAAGAGGAAAATGGAGAAAAACTAACTACTCTATTGTACCTGCTGGTTAGTTGACACAGCGGCACACAACAGAACTCACGTTTTATACCAGTAGATCACAGATGCTTTAACTTTTGTGACATTTTCACGGACTAGTACTAGGAGCTAACGCTAAAAACATAGGCAGTAAGCAGGGAGTGGAAGGGAGGAGCGTGGCAAGAATTTTACCAGAAATACGTCATTGATGACTGTGGCATATAGGCTATTACAAGTATACTAGAGCTAAAGTCAAATGATTGTTTTTTATTTATTTACATGTAACATTGTTAATTGTGAAGTTGTTCCTCCAGTGAAAAGAAGTTTGAATACATGTCCCAACACATTTTAAATCTGAAGGCACAAATGAATATGGGAACAGGGTAGTGCGTGGTCCCTCAAACATACGTCTTCTGAGGATTATGTCATGTCCTTTCACAGCCGTTTTAGGGCAACCTCTACGGACTGTGAAGGATGCAGCCTCTGTGGGCTGTGACCATGGTAGGCTGCAGCCCCGGAAATGGGACACAGATGTCTTTCAGGACATATTGGTCTTCCTTTGTACTTGTGTTGGTGTTAATATTAGAGTTAACTGCACTACTGTCCCCACCTGTTTAGGTGGAGAATTACCTATCTGAACATTGCAGTTGAACTGAAGATGTGGCTTAAAATTTTTCTATGGTGCCCATGGCCATCCCTGAGCTCTGCCACTGTTGGGTATTACGATTTTCAACTGGCGTTTATGGTCCCAAATAGATTTTGACTGTCTGACCTGTTTCCTCTCTTCAAAATCAGCTCTAATGTAAAAATAATTCCAGCAAAATCCAGCAATCAGCAGAGAAATCAGGAAAAAGGTTTTGCACTAAAAATGTGCTGTAATTTCAAAGCAGATTTACTCATCTGTAATAACTACAAGGGACTAGTGATGCATAAAATAACCTGATGAGATTTTATACTGTGGAAATGACTGAAAACATTTTTATAAATACTACGATCAGAGGACAACAAAATTATTCTGCAGGCCTAAGGCAGCAGAGAGATCTGGGAACTGGAGTGTGAGATTCATTAATTACACCCTACAGGTGTGTTATAAAAAGGGAAACTAAAGTGGAAAACATGGAAAAATAAATAGGATTTCAAACTTTCTTGTTACTWCCTGGTCTCTTGTGGTAAATGTCAAATCAGCAGTTTTTTGTTAATAGGTCAGTAAATCCATCAATGAGTTTTAAATGACAAAAAGAAAATTGAATGTCACACGTAAATAAATGTATTTTTTCTTCTTCTTTTTTTTACATTTCTCCAGATACAATGTGGCTYCAAGCAAGTGTGCTGATTGGCCTGCTGTGCCTGAGTTACACAGGCAGTGTGAGAGGATTTGCCCGTCTGATGGACAATGCAGAGCTACGCTCAGCTTTCTCAGTTTCTCGCACCAGCAGCATGGAAGGTGGACCAAAGATGACAGTGACCTTTGACACTGTCTATGTCAACATTGGTGGGGATTTTGATGCCAAGGCTGGTCTGTTTCGTTGTCGAATMCCCGGGGCCTACTACTTTTCCTTCACAGTGGGAAAGTTCCCCCACAAAGACCTGTCTGTGATGCTAATGAAGAACCGAAATGAGGTGCAGGCCATTGTGTACGAGGAGAACGCTGGGGAGGAGAGGAAGGTAGGTCGAAAATGTCTGAAACATACCTCAAAACTTAACCTTTTAGACTTATTGATGAGGCTGACAGCAACAAACTGGGTTGAGAAATTGAAATGCTTTTAAAGAGGAACAAGTTCTTTATGACTTACAAATTCAAACCTGTTCTTTACATTACCTCAGATCAGTGGTTCTCAAACTTTTCATTATGTGTGCCCCTTTCACCGAGGGCAATATTTCAGRCCCCGTTTCTTAGAACAGTAAAACAAAATCAGTCAAATTTAAATAAAACACACAAACATGTGCACAGAGTCTAGTACATCTATCTTTATGGGGACATTGAATTCCTAACCCTGACCATTTACCCTAAACCTAACCTCACAGGTACATACCTGACTCTAAACCTAACCTCACAGGTACATACTGTACCTGATCCTAAACCTAACCTCACAGGTACATACCTGACTCTAAACCTAACCTCATACCTGACCCTAAATCCAACCTAAACTCAGTTTACACCTTTGTTCTAAACCACTAACAGTGTTTCCTCCCATGACTTAAGTCCCCATAAGTACCTGATGGTCCCCACAAGTAGACAAGTACACCAAAATTGCCCTCACATAGTAGGAAATACCCATCCACACCCACACACAGTAAAACTTTATTTTTTTCTTGTCTGTGTACTGAAATCTCCCATATCTAAATTCACAAGAGCTCATTATTTTAACACTAATGGCTGAAACAAGTCTGTTTTTATTGTATTATCTTTAAAATAAACCATACAGTTCAGTTTGAGTAAAAAAAAGCATCAAGCAGTAATTGGCAGAAATGCTATTGTAAATTAGGGCTGTTGTCATGAATCATGTCTGTTTCCTGCCCAAGTCCTGTCACAGTCATTTATCTCCTAATTGTTTCTCCCCTCCCATCTCATCTAACCTCAGTCAGCGTCATGTCACTCACCTGTGTTCTGCAGTATTTAAGCTCCACTCATCCACAGCTCCAGTGCCAGATTTATGAACGGTTCTCCTAGTAACAGTCCAGCATTCATATCACGCCTTGCCTGCCTCGTCTCAGTCTTGTTTCTCCTCACTGGTTCTACGTCCCTCGCCTTGCCCCTGAATGGTACCGTCTCGAACTCTGCCCTCCTGGTTTTGACTCCTACTCTGGACTCTGGATTTCTGCCTCCTGTCTCTCTCCCCGTCTGACCTGTTCAGTCATCTGATCTTCAGACTTCGACTTCTGCCTGTGTACCCCGACCACGAGATAAGTCTGCTCCTCCAAACCTGGTTCTGCTCTCAGTCTTCTTGTGTATGACCCCTGCCTGTCCCACGGATAATCCCCGCACCTCCTAGCTCCACCGGAGGTCTCTCTGTAAACACRGAAGTATCATCGGACTTCACCTAAGGCTGTCCACATCATTCAGGAGTTCGTTCTGGACCAAGCACTCTTTTAGAAGTTTAGTAGTTTACACTCATGCAAAATCTGCTCCACAGTTAATTTCAGCCACTAATCTAATCCTCCTCTGTTTAGAGCTCCTGGTCCCATTGACGTGTGAATCCAGATCGTGCTTCCTGTTTATAAATAAAACTCTTAAAACTGCTCTAGTGTTTGGCGACTCAGTGAAACTCAGCCCCCCATTCATCACAGCTGATGCCATTTTGTTTGAGCATTTCGAGCTTTGTGTTTCATCTTCTCTGGTTTTAAATGGATTTTTTTTGCATGAGGATATTCAAGTCAGTTTTTTTAACTCAAGCTGCTTAACATTACTGAGCTGTAATGTTTCAGTGTGTGGTAATACTTTTTTTAAAACGTCTTACTGTCCACTGACAGTTTCCAGACACAAACATCAGAAATGATCCTGTCTGAGTTCTCTGATTTGAAAGAGCAATGGGTCTCATGCAAGAACCATTCGTACRAACAGATTTGYTGTGCATACGAGTGATTTAGGAGAACTTGTCGCATTCACCAATTTTCTCGTATTAGAATTTTTTTTAGATACGAACAAAATACACAAGTGAAAGCTGTGTCTAATTGCTCTTCTGAATAAATGAGAATTATGTAACACAGTAGTTTACACTTGATAAAAGGAAAACTGGAGCAGGACTAGAGAGATGAATATGCTTTAGATTTTTATTTCTGTGACTGTATACGACCCAAAGGAGATACAACATTAACAACAGTCATTTCATTCCTTTAATTCCACAGCTGACGCTGCTAAAAATGTCAGATTTTCTTTTCTGGATCTCTGAGAGCAGGACTTCAATCTCCAAACTCGTGAAGTTCTTTTACTTTTTGCTGTTTTAATGAATGAACACGTCCTGGTATGTGGGGCAGGAAGTGTAGCCTTATATGGTATTATGATATCATTGGAGTGGTAATTATGCTAATTTCCTCTCCTTGTGCACCTGAATACTTACAGGTGGAATTCATCAGTTTACGCAGCTCATTTACACACTTTTCCTGAAGTTAGAAGCATTTGTTGAATCTAATACGGCATGTTCGTATGAGCCCTTCATTCAAAAAGAAAGAGAAATTTAGGATAAGAATATGAAAATGTTCTTTCTATCAGGTTTTCAGGTACAAGTCAAAGATGAGCAGGTTTAACAGACAACAGACACGGAGACCAGATAAAAGGTAAGTGTTATTTTATTTACAGGTGGTAGGGATATGTACAGGGGATCCAGGCTGCGGAGGGAAAGGGAAGGAGGTGAGTATCCAGGTAAGTAATTTGGTTGAAGGAGGAACTTGAGATATAATAATAA